TCGGTGACGTCAGGCATACGGCCTTATTATACGATTTCGAAATAGGCCTTATGCGTTGCGGGGTTGAGGCGAAGTAACATGGCAATGGTTTTGCATTGGCAGGTTAGGCATGAGAAAAGCTTTAATTGTGCATTCATTGTTACATACATTAAACAGCATCTGCCTCTGAGACACTTGCAAGGAGGATCGGAAGCTTGGTCTATTTCAATGATTTTTTTTCTCTTTGACTCATTTTTACATAAAGGAAATGCATACACTACGTATTGTCTTTATGAAGGGATGGGAATATCTAGAAACCCTTGGGAGCATTTATTGGTCCTTCTATCAATATCATCCATCTGCCTGTTCGTTTGGAAGTTTAAAACTATTTTACTATCGCCCGAACAGCTAAACAGTGGTTTGTTTTAATGAACGATACACGTCTAAATAATACATGTGTAATAGCGATTATATGTGTCCTTTTTCGTAATACACTGCATACTGCATATCTACTTGATCAAAGCACCATATGGCAGGACTCCTTTGCATATTGCGTTCCAAACGTCCATACCAGCGTCAACAACAGTAATAACAGCTAGACAAATAAACCTTTGATCCAACGCATTAACATAGTAGTAGCGATCCAAGACCTGCTTAATGCTAACCTAAAAAAAATTGACGTCAGGTTGCAACATTCACACCCCTGGAAAAACAAAAACAAAAAAAGGAAGGGGAAAAAAAGAGAAAAAAAGAAGAAAAGAAAAGAGACGAGAAGTCATATTGGTGTAAATTTAATGGGGGGGGGGCAAATATCATTACCCCCCTCTCAAACTGAGAAATCGAGAATATGTTGAGAAATACAGGACTTTTTTGGAAAAGTATGTTTTGCCCCCTCTAGAAAAAAATCCTGGCGACGCCCATGTTTCCAGCTCTTGCACGAAACTTTACCCAAAACCGTTCGTTTATTTAACTCCACTGCGCATGTCTGTCATTACGCGAGGAGCCAGGCGCGAGTAAGCCGGGGAAGTAATCGAACGCACTGTTTGCGTTTCATAGTTGCACGACAGATGCATCAGCATCGTGCTATACATACAAATGCTGTTACGTAACTCTTTTCTACAATCATTTTTATGTACCGAGCAGTTGTCTATTCAGAGTCACTACGAGCAATTAACCTTACCAAGCTCGTCCTTATTCTATCTCATCAATTGTTCCGTGTCGCGCTTCTTACGGCCGGCACTAATATGTCGCGCTGACTGAGAGAAATTCTAGCAAGTTTCCCCTACCTCATTATATTTATATCAGACTACTGACCCGTTTATACGAGGGAATTTTGTTTGTCAGATTCTCATTCAGCTCCCTTAGCTAGTTTGCGAAATTCATCTTTTCTTGCACTTACGCTAAGTCTAGGGAATGATGCCATTATAATACAATGTCACATTAACGTCAGCCGGTGGCATGATTAGAATCACTAGTGCAGTGCCCGTCTAAAATGTGCATGTTCGGGAAGCGCAAATTGCTTTGCCGCTGGTATAGGTTGCATACTTGCAGAGTTTTGGAGAACTGCTCGTGCAAACAACGCACGCGATTCAATGGTGTTGTTTTCACAGGTTGAACGCACACTTACGTCAAAGTTTGTGCCAAGTTTGAAGTTCGACCACCTACAATGGTCGCTCAGTCGACTGCAAAAATAATGTGCCCGTGTATATACGAAAACATGGTATGCAGTGCTATTCACCAGTACTGGACAATGTGTCGGCCTACACCACTGCACGTGCGCGTGTCCGTGCATTGTTTGCGTCATATTGAGCGCGCGCGCTTTAGCCTATACATGACGTAAACAATTGAAAAGAACGGCAGTGCGTGGTGTTATGTTCTAAGCTGCCACGTTTGCCTCCGAAAATACTGCTTTTTTGCAGCTTTTTCGAGAACCGAGAACCGCTGTTCCAAACAACTTCAAACTTGGCACTGCACATTCTGTGGCCCCGAGAAATACACCCGCCGATTCTCAACTTCATACGGTGCCCGGTTCTGGAGATAATCGGCGGACAGACAGACAGACAGAGATTCCTTGAATTATAGTAAGATGACCACGCGAGTGCAATATGACGTCCAGTGGGGGAAATCTGAGAGTTTGCCGTGGAGAGTCAGTTTTTCAAAATACGGTCACAAAACAAGGCCCATTTGAATGAGTGTCATTAAACAACTTTAGCTAATTGGCTTTAAATTTGGGTATAGCGTTCTGCCGCCTTACTAAAACACAATATTGATACAAAGAAAAGAAAAAGGCAACTTTATAGGCCTACTCGAATCATACACTTACAAAACTACTTACAGGAAAAAAAACTAACAATTTCAAATGTCCCGCGCTGCGAATTTGTCGACCATCTCCCACAACGCACTAGGAAAATGAACTCTCCGTGGCAAACTCTTAGTGGCACATGAAACGCCTGATTTGCCCGGCCGTGGACATTTGAAAGGGGGGGGGGCGTTGGACACCACATTATACTGGGGGCGTTCTTTATCAATTATGTATACTCGCACTTACATTTTTAAAAGCCTTTGTACTTTGTTTCTCCACTTTCCAGTGCTATTGAATACATTAGTTGCTGGGACGTTCGGAAAATTCCTCAAAATCCTCATTTTTTTTCTCATCACAAAAAATGGGGAATCATTCAAAAGCCCATCCCCGGTCAAAAAGTATGGTGGGTATATACCCCCATCCCAACCCCATTCCGGGAATTACGCCCCTGATGACGGCGCACGCAGCCATCGAGCCCGCCACTCGCATGGTCTTTTTTCGTGTCCGGGTTGCCATACGCCCTTGACTCAAGTCTACGGTCATGAAAAGGCCTTTGAGATGAAACAAAGGAAATCCATGAACCTTATGCGACTGAACGATCTAAACTGGGGTCGTATTGTGTACTTAACAAGCGAGTATAATTTTTACTAACACCTGCACATGTAATACGCCAAAAAGAGGCATTTGCTAAGAAAAAAAGACACCTAGCTTTCGTCGGTGTGAATGAGGAGAACATTTTGGAACTGTTTTCGTTCACGTTGCAAGGAATACATGTTACCCAGAGCAAAATTTACTTCCAACATTGATATACACTTTTTAAAATGTTTGCATTAATTACATTTTAAAAGCATGAGGAGCACTATTATTTCTTTACGGGCCAGTTTTCCATTTTGAGAGGGGCACAATTTTTTGTATTGCGAGAGGGGTCATTCGTGTTTTCGAGGGATAGTTTTCCATCTCGAGGAGGTTCACAATCTTGTTAATGCGCGAGGGGTATTTGTGTTTTTGAGGGGCACTTTTGCATTACAAGAGTGGAGATCATTTTTTTTAACGCGATCATAATGCTTTCATGTGCGTTTGAGGGCAGTTTTATTTTCATATTTTGTGATCTAATGTGACAACATGGAGAATGTCCCCTAAAACCATGTGAGTAATCACCGCCTGAAGTTGGATTCACTAGGAATCATGTAATAGGATCCAGAAATGTCCCTGTCTAAAAAAAACACACACAATAAAAACCTGTGGTTATAGATCAGGGCTATTGGGAGTAGGGGTACAAGGACGGATCCAGATCACACTTTGTTGGGGGGGGGGGGCTGTACAAATCAAGCCAGGCCAAACTGGTTTAGGTCCTAGCCCTAACAGCCTGTTGGCACCAATTCTTGAGGGCGTCATTCGCTTCTTAAAAGTGGGGGTGGTACAAACATGTGTATCTTGATCAGTACTAATTGTGCGAGTGCGAAGTTTAAACGGCGCGGGGTTCGGGGGCACTGTGCTTCAGAACGACAGACTTAACACGTACATTATATACGTAGGGCCAATGCATACATGCTGTACAGCGTCAGTTGGTGAAATCGAAAATTCCGAGAGAGACCCTAAAACTTTTTTAAAAACATTTCTCTGCGCGTATGGGTGTGTGTACAACCACTGCCTTCTGGGGTACCGGAACAATGGGAGGTACCCCACAAGGAATGCCCACCGACTTAAGGGGTACCGTTTTAGTACCCCACAAGTTTTTCACGAAATAGATATATGGATTTTACTCAAAAACTAGGAATTTCCAAGGTGGGTTGATACGTCGCAAATGGAAGAGTTTTAGAAAAGGGATATGAAGTCCGAATTTCAGCCCAGGAAATTAAGTATGGTTAAAATAAGAGCATTTTGACATGAGTGTGCGACGTTGCAAAATTAGTACACGAACAAAGGAAGTACCCCACTTCTATGTCTATGTAAGCGTGGGTGTGTGTGGGTAGGCCTATGTGTTTTATGGCACACTGCGGTATTTTCGTAGGCCCTCCCCCAAGTTTTCGTAGGCCCCCCACATTTTTCGTAGGCCCTAGGCACAGTGTCGTCCATGTTTAATACAACATGTATACGTGCGTTCTGACAATGCCAATACTTTTCATGGCCGCTTATCATTCATGTTCCAAAAGTCCAAAACTGAAGTGTTTACGGCACTTATGTTTACTAATGCACCTTTCTAGATAAAGTCAAATAATCATGGGTTTCCAGTGCACGGCTTCAGTTCTGCTTTGGTTTCGGGAGAGGTTGAGGTCCCTGACTTAGGGGAATCAGCCTCAGTCCGGGCCCTTGTTCTGCTTCAGTAAAATCATAAAATATTATAATGCGAAGCCAAACTTTGAAGAATATCCATTTGCTGTTGACATTAAAAAAAAACCTCCAAAAATGATTCTCAGAGACGAAGCTGGAGCATGAGACGAATTCGTGGTTTGGAAAATCCCCAAAGATAAAGGGCAGGTGTAGTCTGCTTCACCTTTCAATGGTTTATTACCGAAACGAGAAGTAGGCGCATCTTAATAGTTACGGTGAAGTGTGTTTGCTTATGAGGCGTAGGTCCTATAGCTTATTTACATACAATTCGTTGCAGTAGAGCACTGAATGCCAGTACACGGACGGCTTCTGACAACGTCTGGTTGATTTTCATTTCTGTGAGTGAATCTTCACACCTAACTTCATCACCAACACGGTAATTACCAAGATGCCGCAAAAGACCATTCAGGATTTGGATGCCTACATTAAGGCGACAGCCGCCGTGTACGACCACTCCAACACCAAACTCGTCAGCAGGAAGACTAAAGTCAGCAGGCGTAGGAAGGAAGCGTTTCTTTCTGTGCTTCCATACAGGAAACCGTCGTCACATTACCACTCCCAAGAGAGAAAGAAATCATCATCATCGATTACCCGCAAACCAAGAAGTAGACCTGCATCAGAAAGGTAAGAGATTTGGAAAAAAAAGTTGCAACCTGACGCCACTTTCTTCTTCATAATCATATCATGAAGGTCAATCATTGCAAAAATTATGATAAAACATTAATCTTGGACTGAGAGACATTTCCAAATTGTGCAGGTTCAGGTTGCAACATTTTTTCCAGAGATTTCTTTAAAGAAAATTCAAGCTGTCTATACAAATTTGTTCTGTAATCAATTTCCAATGCAGATTCAAGTCGGGTGACTTTTTAAAGAGACCCTAACTTAATGTCTCCGGGACTGGCCCACAGCTAGAGATATCGTTCTTATTTCTTTCCTTATTGTATTTTATATTTTGGGCTCTGTCAGCTTAAAATCCAGTTGTGAGTGAGGGTGAGCATGTATCATCGTCAGTTGTGCACTTAGTGTGTGAAAGTGTAATTGACAAACAAAGAATTGGCCATATAAAGTGTGGCTGACAAATACAAAGAATCGGCCATTTAAAGTGTAGCTGACAAATACAAAGAATCGGCTATTTAAAGTGTAGCTGACAAATACAAAGAATCGGCCAGATAAAGTGTAGTTGACAAATACAAAGAATCGGCCATATAAAGTGTAGCTGACAAATACAAAGAATCAACCATTTAATGTGTAGCTGACAAATACAAAGAATCGGCCAGATAAAGTGTAGTTGACAAATACAAAGAATCGGCCATATAAGGTGTAGCTGACAAATACAAAGAATCGGCCATTTAATGTGTAGCTGACAAATACAAAGAATCGGCCATATAAAGTGTGGCTGACAAATACAAAGAATCGGCCATTTAAAGTGTAGCTGACAAATACCAAGAATCGGCCATATAAGGTGTAGTTGACAAATACAAAAAATCGACCATATAAAGTGTAGCTGACAAATACAAAGAATCAACCATTTAATGTGTAGCTGACAAATACAAAGAATCGGCCATTTAAAGTGTAGCTGACAAATACAAAGAATCGGCCATATAAAGTGTAGTTGACAAATACAAAGAATCGGCCATATAAAGTGTAGCTGACAAATACAAAGAATCGGCCATTTAATGTGTAGCTGACAAATACAAAGAATCGGCCATATAAAGTGTGGCTGACAAATACAAAGAATTGGCCATTTAAAGTGTAGCTGACAAATACAAAGAATCGGCTATATAAAGTGAAGTTGACAAATACAAAGAATCGGCCATTAAAAGTGAAGCTGACAAATACAAAGAATCGACCATTTAATGTGTAGCTGACAAACACAAAGAATCGGCCATATAAAGTGTGGCTGACAAATACAAAGAATCGGCTATTTAAAGTGTAGCTGACAAATACAAAGAATCGGCCATATAAAGTGTGGCTGACAAAATAATACAAAGAATCGGCTATTTAAAGTGTAGCTGACAAATACAAAGAATCGGCCATATAAAGTGTAGTTGACAAATATGAAGATTCGGCCAGATAAAGTGTAGTTCACTAATATAAAAAACGGACATAGAGTGTAGTTGATAAATATAAAGAACGGGTCATATCAAGTATAGATGACAACGAATAGGCCATATTGAGCGAGGGAGGGCGATGCCATGTTCTATGTAAAATAACTTTTACAATACCATTCATTAAAGATGTTGAGTATCGTTACTTATTTTGTAAGGGGGTCCCTGCTCTTGTGTGTTTAAGAGGAACCTTATTTTCTCTTTTGAACGTCTCCAAGCCACTGGAACAAAAATCACAAAACCCGGCTAAATTGTCAAAGTTCGGTAATTATTCCATAACAAAATATCACCTTTTTCTTTCGATGCGCTATATGCAATGCCTCCAACTTGAAACTTCTGTATTGCTCAAACAAAAAAGCAACGAAAACAAAGTACGGGATGGAATACCAAAATAGCAGGGCAGAAGCAACTTTGTTAAAAGGCGTTGAAAGGGTTTTGGAGTTGCTTTATATTGGAATGATTTTCTGCTCTGTTGGCGTTCTACCGTAACCTGAGAGTCTCAAAGATTGTCTCAAAGATTGTACCCAAAAAAGAATATCTGTCCCCAAGAGCTTACTGACTGTTATCTAAAATATCACGCCATGTATCAAAGGTCCAAAAACTGAAGTGTTTACGGCGTTTATGCGAATGTTTACAAAGTCAAATATAAGTGGGTTTCAAGTGCACGGCTTCCGTTCCGTTTTGGCTTTGGGAGAATTTGAGGTCCCTTACTAAGGGGAATCCAGCTCAATCCAAGCACCTTGTTCTGGTTCAATACAACACAATAAAATCAAACTTTATTATCCCATTGTGGGAAAGTTAATGACCTTTTTATAAAACACATGAAAAGCATGAATGTAAAAACTACACAAATACAGACATACATAGTATATCCTACATCAATAAATTAAAACTCATACAAAATTAACTCATACAATATTTAAGCAAGTAAAATATATCTATTTACGGAGTACTTTTTTGTTATTTCTATTTGTTTTGCCAACGTTTGAAGAATATCCACTTGGTTGTGACATTAAAAACGTCAAGAATCATTCTGAAGTCAGAGACGAAGCCGTACCCGGGAATGAATCCGTGGTTTGGTAAATCACTAAAGATAAACTCATGATCTGGTGTCCTGCCTCATAATGTGATAAAAACCAGTTCAAACAAGACCAGGTCAGTTGTACTGTGCTACCTTGCTAGGGTTCATTATCAAAACGAAAATAGTCATGCGCTTCTCGAGTTAATGTCATCTATTGTGTTTACTTGGCCTCCCCGTATAGCTGATTTACATACAATCTATCGCAGTAGAACATTGAACGCCGATACATAAACAACCTCTACCTGATTTTCCTCTCTGTAAGTGAACCTTCACATCTTTATTTAACTCGGCAAATACCACAATGCTGCAAAAGACCTTTCAGGATTTGAATGCATACATTAAGGCAACAGCCGTCGTGTCAACCTCGTACCCAGGGTATTGGATCATTTGCATGTGCAAGATTTTTGAACGCGTATGCAAATGAGGAAAAGTCTGGTGCCTGCGTGTGCGTTACATTAGCGCTTGTTTTTGTATGTGGTATCCGGGGTAAAAACAGCAATTCGTCACAACGCGAGCATGGCGTGAGTTACGAAAACACGATTTATTTAATTAAACTGTTACGATTTTATCGAGACAACATGCAGTATCACATTTCATATTAATACGAACAAATTGGAAAAAAAGAGCATTTTCGAGAAGGCGTGGACGAATGATGAGCGAAAACATGTACTGCACGTTGTGAATATATAGCACCGAGTACACGATAAAAACCCATTTCTAGCCAATTGCGGTATCGAATCAGGATACAGGAAGAAAGTTTCCTATCCAGGGCTTACTATTGAAAACGCGGTTGGAAATAAAGTAAGCACTGGGGACGAGGTTGACGTCGTGTGCAACCACGCCAACTCTTAGCTCGTCAGCAGGGTGACCGTAAGGTCATGGCCAAATTCTGCTAAATACACTACAAAAATCTGTCCGATTGATAAAAAAATATGCCGAATTCCCCAGAATTACCCGAAATACACTATAAACGCTTAAAATCACATGCATATGTTGAACTATTGCCTTAATTAAGGTTCAAATTACATTATAAACAACGTATAGTCAAATAAAGATATTGCGTAAATTTGAGACAAAACGTGGTTGTGTCACGACGAAGTCCGGTTCCCAGTGAACCTCGGCACCCATACCAGGCAACCTGTCCCATTATGCAAGGGTTTGTTTGAAAAGATTGAAGTATTTTAACAAAACGTACAATTTTTTTTCAAATTTGCCATGTTTTTCCGTCAAATAACCATTTTTCAGAATTCTGCCAGAAATCTGCCCGCAAAAAAATCTATTCTGTACACATTTTCCGTCAAACTCGTTTTTAAACACAACATCTGTCAAAGTTAGCCGAAAACCGGTTAACACGGTCGCCCTGCTCGTCAGCAGGAAGATTAAAGTCAACAGGCGTAGGAAGAGGGTGTTTCTCTCTGGTGTGACTCCGTACAATCTTCTCATTACGCGAAAAACCTTTGTAAACCTAAAGTAAAGTAAACCTTTGAAAGAGGAGTTTTTTCCTTAAACATCTTCCTGAAAGAAAACTCCAGCCACGCTGTACACAAATGCAATTTATGACCAATCATCGATCCCATACAAGTTTCAATGGTGTCACATCTACATCGGCGATAATCCACTCCAAATCATTCCAAATTCGTGATGCATTTGAACTCAGTACAGATATTCCTGCAGTGCTGAATAATTTTGGCGAGTCTTAGAAGTCAGTAAGTGCATTCAAATTATTAAATATTCATGCAAATTGATTATGCAATTAAAGATCCAAGGAAAACCCGAATGGCGTGTACCACAGCAATCTTAAATGGTTCAGTAGTTTCTAGAAATGGTTGGGCGTGGTGAGCAAAGGAAAACACCTTCTGTTTCTGTCCGTTTTTTACGTTAAAGGGAAAATACAACATTTGCAAACATCAAAAAATAAATCTACCAAATTATTAGGAAATATCTTGCTGGACTGTTAGTGAATAACAGTCTAAAGCATCCTGTAAAATTATGGCACCTGGTGTACTGTCATTTTCAAGAAAAGTGGTATTTTGTATCAATTTCCAACACAAGTCGGCCGACCAGCGTTGGGAAAAACCTGTTTTTTTCTCAAATACTTGCCCCAATTGACCATATTTAGTTCTTAGTCTGCTTTTGTTTGCAATCGATTACACACCTGTGAATGGGTACAAGCCAGCCAGATTGGTTCCCTGACCTTACAATTCCCCAACGTCTATATTTTGCTCAGTTTCATCTTAAATGGAGTCAGGGAACCAGACTACAGGAAAATGATTGTTTTTATTGGTTGTTATAGCATCTTCGAACCCAAAACGTCAAAAAAAAGTCAGTGTAACAATATTTGCTATAAAATACTAACCTCCCAAATCCATCCATTTCTGAAAATACAACAAAAACAAATGATGTATATTCACTTTAAACCGACCACACAAACGACGATGTCACATTTAATGAATTTTTGTGTGTATTCATTGAAAAAAAAGTTAAAATAAAATCACGCCGTTGCACTTTCTGATTGTGAAAGAGAAAAAAATACTTTCAGTGTATAATTTCGGTATTGCTGGAACCAAATTCCAAAATGTCCCAAGAGAAAGAAAAATATACTCCGGTCCTTTTAATTGCAGTGCCATCAGCAACCCGAAACAGAAGCTGAATATCTCTGTCCAGACTTCCGAAAATGCCAACGATAATAATGATGCACCACAGACGCTTAGCTTCCAACTGGATCTGGAGACATCCGTCCAATCGCTAAAAGAGCTCATTGAAAAGCAGATTGGTGTCGAGGCGCGGTACCAGTGTTTGTACAACCGGCAAAACTTTCAGGTCGGCATGTTTCAATGTACCACACAATTTAATTGAAAGATGCAAAGCTAAAATTTACGCATAGTACAAATGGGATTATTTATTTATTCATTAAAATATATTATTTGTCAATTATTCAATAATTTGGCCTAAATATAAATCTGCTATATAGTCGTTTAAACAAAGTAGTTTACTTTTAACATTATCTACTATCAGCTCTGTGACTTACTCACACTTGAGGAGAATGATGTCGACAAGAATGAAATCATCTCTCTCCGTCTATCTAAAGACGATCGAAACTGCAACGATGTACCAAAAGGTAAACGATATAGTTCGGGAATAAAATATGTTCAAGTGGATAAACTACCTTCTATGGAGGTTTCGCTCTCTTTAGTTGAGCTGTTAATAAAGAACATGAACTTTTTGTTATTGTTGCTGTTGAAAAAGTTTCACTGAAGGCCCAGTTGAAAATTCTTTTTGCAGACAAAACCGGCATTGATCATGAGTACCTAAAGGACTTGTCCTCAAAAGTTGAATCATCAAGGACGGAATTGGCCAAACACCTAGGATATGAAGAAGCGGAAATTGCAGACTTCCAAACCACTAACGAAGGCAGCACTGAAGAGAGCCGTCACATGCTACTCACTTGGTGGAAAAAGACGACAGATCGCGACGAAGCAGCTCAGAAGCTAAGACGAGCATTGGAGGCCATCGGGTTGACTGAGTTGGCCCAAAATGTACCGGGTGAGCTAAAAGTAAAACTAGACTTAGGCATATGCTATGTATTTTCAGGACACAGAAGAGAATTGATGAGGTACTTTTTTTAAAGCAAATAAGCTATAAAACTGCCTTGTTAATTTTTTTAACAAACTAAAAAAAGCAAAATCAGTTAAAAGCCATTCGTAAACAATTCTATGCACTGTTGTTTCCTTCTTATCAGTAACGAGCGAATCGAGAGATGAAACAGCTGAACCCGAGCCAGAAAGGCGTCAAGATGCAGGAGTAGACGAGGAGAGCAAACAAAACGGGGCGGCATCAACCGAGGAAGAGAAACTGAAAAACGACGAGTTACCTAAAGGTAAATGACCTCGTTCGGGAAACGATTTATGTTCAAATGAACAAAGTACCTTCTATGGAGATTTTGCTATCTTTAGTTGAGCTATTTATAAAGAACAAAAGTCTCTTTCTGTAGCGGTTGTATATACCGGAGGGCGCACTAGAAAATGTTTCACTGAAGGCACGCTTCAAATTTTTTTTGGCAGACAAGGCCGCCATTGACGATGAGTACCTCAAGGGCTTGTCCCCGAAAATTGAATCATCGTGGAAGGAACTTGCCAAACACCTAGGATATGAAGAAGCGGAAATTGCAGACATCCAAACCACCAACGAAGGCAGCACTGAAGAGAGCCATCACATGCTACTCACTTGGTGGGAAAAGACGACAGATCGCAACGAAGCAGCTCAGAAGCTGAGACGAGCATTGGAGGCCATAGGGCTGACTGATTTGGCCCAAAGTTTACCGGGTGAGCTAAAATGGGGAAAAGCAGATTTCTTATGATTATGAGTGATATTTCACTACATTTTACATTAGACGATATAATATTGAATGTACATGTATATGGTACCCAGATTTCATACCAAACACATAAGCAGTTTAACTATAATTGTTAAAAACTTTTTATTGTAAAAAAAAACGGAGACAGAAACAAATTATTACGAAGTACATAAAACGATTACAATTATACATTATTCAATACAATTAAGATGCACTCTGTTTTTCTTCTTACATTAGTAACGAGCACATCGAGAGACGAAGCAGCTGGACCCGAGCCAGAAAGGCGTCAAGATGCAGGAGTTGACAAGGAGTGCAAACAAAAGGGGGCGACATCAACCGAGGAAGAAAAACTGAAAAAGGAACAAGTTTTTGATCAAGACAAACCTCAGCTTATCAGGTAAAACATGTTTGAACGCTGGTATTCGTACTGCACCCCGTGTTTGAAGAGGTAGCCAAGCACCAAATTTCCGGTGGTTTATTATTTTTTTTTGATAACTAAACTCCCTTGGAAAGCAAAATATCTTCATTTTAATAATAGTGTAGTGAATGGTCACAGTATTAGTTGATGGTCTTAACCTTTATTCCTTTACTCATATATGTCAATTAAAACAAACATTAAAAGAGCCTTAACAAGCTAAATCTCTTTTCTGACAGTCGCAGATATTTGCAAGTCTTCATCCGAGGTAACTGCTTACAAAAACCAAAGATAACTAGTTTGCGATTGGATCCAGAGACATCTGTCTTGATCTTAAAAGTGATAATAAGCGAGAAAATTGGTGTGCATCCTCAGCAACAGCGACTGTTCATCCGAAGAAACTGTCGTAACTTTGAGGTAAAGACGGTTCCATATTTTAAAAAGCAACCATGTTGCGAAGTACCAATCAAAATTCCATTGAATTAAAGACCATGCATTATTGGTTGTAAGAACAACCTCTTCTGATTCAAGTGACAGTCGTGTACAGATAGTGCTGCTTTTGATGTCGGCACACTGGAGTTTACGCACTTATGTTCAAGAAAGTTAATAGTTGTTGGCTTTACCCCCACCGATTTAGTTTCAAGATGAAAACGCACCATAAAAAGTTACATTTATATTTAGATATTGAACCAGTGTAATGTAATCTGAAACCCTAAACTATCGTTTAAAATGCTTCGAAAAATGTGTTCATTAAGAATCTTATTTCTTTTGCCAGCTCCACAACTTGCTGACACTTCACGACTGTGGAATTCATCAGGACGAGAACATCTCACTCCGTCTGTGTACCGATGGCCTACTGGGCGGGGGACCAAAAGGTACATGCTTATGAAAACAATAACCTTGCAAGATGGAGAACAAAATGCGTTTAGCCCTCACAATTTAGCTGGGAATGCCACATCCGCTCCTCAAACTAGATTAATGTCACGGGAAAAGAGCGGTATAAGCAAACAGAAAAGGAAATGATTAAACACGATTGATGCTCTAACGTTATATATTACTTAGCATTGGTACAAGTATAAGTATGTAAATTAATGTCACCGCCTCCTTCTCTGATGCAATTCAATAAGGACCACTACAGATATAAGCGATTACTTAAGGAAATCAGATTCATTATTAATTTGTTTGCTATTTCCTTGTGTACATTTCTTTTATGAAATTTCAAACGAAAAGGCATCTATTTCAAACGAAAAGACATGTATTGCTTTTTACCGACAAAGAGGTTTCGTTTTTATTTGGCAGACAAACACCCTGTCGGTGATCAGTTCTTTCGAGACATAGCTTCGAAAACTGAATCATTCTGGGAACAGTTGGCCAAATCCCTGGGATACGGAGAAGACGAAATCAAGCAATTCCAAAAAATCTGCCAAGAAAACAAAGAAAGGAGCCTACAGATGCTGCTTTCTTGGTGGATAAAGCAAACAAATCGCGAGGAAGGATTTCAGAATTTGAAGGATGCATTAAATTCAATCGGGCGTGCTGAGCTGGCTTTAATGGTCCCTTCTGAAGAGCAATGGAGGATGAAACAGGAAGAAGTTGCAGAAAGAGAGAAAAGGAGAGCATCATCTGAAGGACGCGGACCAAGACAGGAGGAAACTGCTCATCGACTACATCAGACTACAGGGACTACATCATCTGAGAATCAGAGAACGTGCCAGGAGGACGTTACACATCGAGACAAACACGAATCATCGGTACAAATGAGAGGGGCTCAAGAACAGAGCAGGAAGAGAGGAGCTACATCATCTAAAGGACAGAGAGCGAGACGAGATGAAGTTGCTCATCGAGACAAACCTACACCAAAGGTACTAATTAGAGGGGCTAAAGAACAGAGCAGGAAGAGAAGAGCTACGTCATCTGAGGACCAGAGACCAGAGGAAGTTACTCACAGAGACAATTCTCAATCAGAGGTACAAATGGGAGGGGCTAAAAAAAAAATCAAGCAGAATGAGACTACATCATCTGAGGACCAGAGAAAGGGACGACAGGAAGCTGCTTATCGAGACAAACCTCAACCACTGGTTCATGTGGGAGTGCCAGGGACAGAAAGCAGACCAGGTAAATAATTACGAGAAATCCAATATATGTTTGATCTTTCTCTCGCTTGCTATTTTCATTCTATTGTTTTTAATTTCTATTAAAATCAAATTGTTAAAGATGCACCGTCGTGCTCTTCAACAAATTTGCAATTTTGCTCCCAACAAGTGTTCAACTTAAATGTTATATATTTAAGATAAAAATACTATACTTCTGGTTTTAGGCAGCAGCGAACCTCCGACTCGGGGTTCCTTTTCAGCGCATAGATATCCGGTTAGCGAGTAGACTTGTTCCCGGTTACCTAAAATGTGGAGGGAATCAATGTTTTCTTCTTCAGGCTAGTCAAATAATTGTTGTTGTTGTTGGGTTTTTTTTTGGGGGGGGGGGGGAGCTTAAATCGGTTAGGGTTCAGATTTGGTTTATATATTTAATGTTTTGGATTAGTTTTGGGGTCGGTTTGGCCAGGTCAACCCCACCCGATATAGTAGTACGCACGTTTCTTATGTTGGAACATAACAACCGGAGTATCTTTAGAGATGACCAGAAATACAAATGTACACGCTCTCGCTCCGAATACATTCTAACAATAGTCATTATGACTTCAAATTAAACTGAATGCACTTTGTTCATGTTGCAATGTATTTGTTTTCATTTACAGATGCGCGACCTGACGACAAATCCATTTGGAATGATTCTAAGAATATCGGAACACACTGGGAAGAATTGGCCTTAAACTTGAATTCCTCAAAAGAAGAGGTTGAAATAATTAAGGCTAATCATTCCAACGATGTTGTAAGGCAGTGCTTTGAGATGTTAAGCGCATGGTGGAGAAAGCAGGACAATTACCCAGAAGCATGGCGGACGTTGGAGAAGGCTCTGGTTGATTCGGGCAGGAACGACTTGGTTCAGGGCACATCAGGTATGCTCAGTAGTTGAAGGAAATTTGGCAAACTGTACGGTTACATTTGACGATGCAAACAAATGGAAGTTGGTCAGACAAGATAAATCAAGCCATTAAAGTAGCCAGCGTGTAATCAAGACTACTCACATTTCTATGTTTTATATTGTCCCAGCCACATGGTAGGATATCACTAGATCATATAGTTTGAATTATAGAATATAGTGATCTCTAACTTGGCAAATCTCAACCTTTCAGGAAATAATAAGTGAGCTGGGTGGCGACGAAGGAACGTGGGCGACTAGTTTGCAGACGATGATTCACCTGAAATCGCTCGATTTATTTTGATGTCACATAAATCAACAAGATATACCACATTATTGTATCATCGGTTGGGGAGATGCCACACTTGGCCAAAATTAACCTTTAACCAAGAAATAAGGGCTTGGGTGGTAACGCGGGAAAGTTGGCGGCTAGTTTGCCGTCGATGATTCACCTAAAGACACTTCAAATGACTGATTGTGACTTAAACAGTCAGGATGCAAGATATATCACAGAATCAGTAGGTCGCATGGAGAGTCTGGTGTACTTTTTTCAGTAGTCACATTTACGTGGCCCGTGTACAGCCATGCGATAATGGCAATCGACTGAGCATTAATAGTTTTTTACTGACCGCTCAGGATTTGTTAGATATTGTGCAGTCATTCAGAAATCGGAGAGACTTAGTCAGTTGATCCTTGATGGTATTCATGGTCTAGGTGGTTCTGCGGATTTATGGACCCTACCCTTACAAAACCTAACACAGCTGAGGTGTTTAAGCTTACTTGATTGTTCACTGCAGAGCCCCGACATTGAACACCTTGCTGCAGCAGTAGGTCCAACTTCTACGATTAAAGGGATGGCAAACTTGGTCAATCTGGATCTTTCAGGCAATATAAGGATTAGGTGATAACGTCGGAATATGGGCGGCTAGTCTGCAGAGGATGATTCATCTCAAGAAGTTTTATATGGGACATTGTAACATTTACAGTGGCGATGTGAAATATATCTGTGAATCAGTAAGTCGCATTTAGTTACTGAATAATCGTATAGCAACCTTGAACTTCCTAAGTCAAAACATCGCAGCCCGCCATCCACGGATGAAGTATTTTTGGTAACGGAGTTTTTCGAGTATTTTGTTTTGGAACTCAAATAAAATGGCTGAATGTAGGAAGGGGCTGGGTGCAGTTCGTGAAGAGAATTGATCGCTCCGAACACAGACATGTTTACGTTACATACGTGCATACATAGTGTGAACATTCCTTGGTTTTTGTGTAGTTAAGAAAAACCTGTAAAAAAAACACCCTTGTTTTACTTTCCATGATTCCCTTTTAGTGTTTCTCTTCATTCCGCCATAGATAAACCTAACCCAAAAATGCCTTTTAACCTGTTTTCCAGAGGGGGGGGGGGGGGAACATTGTGTGGACGTGGGCAAGTCCACACAACGTCGCTGCTACATGTACCTGGTTTATGTGGACATCTTTTGTTCGGAAGTCCACACAGTGAACGTAATGCCTACACCCATACAGACATACATACACACGCACGCACAGAAGTAGAATAGGGCCCCGCAGGTTGAGGTTCGAAAGAAAATAGAAATCATCCGCACTTTCAAATGTTGGCTTTGCCCAACCTCTGCACTGGAAACGGTGACATCCGACTTAATGCTACTTTTAATTCAAACGATGTTATGATGGTAAGATTGTTAGTAGTGCAAGTTTTCTAACGGGAAATCTATAGACGTGAAAATCAACCACAATGACAGTCATGTACGCAAAGTTGCAGAAAAGTAAAAGGCTTTCAGCATCTCATTCACATTTCCACGATTACTGCTAACTACGTGACATCTTATGACATCTTAAATATGGATTATTAACCATAGATGTAACCAACGTTGGAAAGATGGCAAATTCCATTTCCTCCGGCTGCAGTTTATGCGCCAGAAAACAACTTGACAGCAAGGCATTTTGCTAAGATGTTTGTTATAAGGCGGGCAATGTGATTGACGTTATTGATTGGATGTCCTTTGTATTTCTCTTCCCAGTAGAAAAGCGCCAATCAAGTGAGGAGCCAGGTCGCAGTCATACGACATCACACGAGACCCAGCTTGCTGCGGATAGGTGTGAGAAGAAACTAAAATATATCTACACTAATAGGGGTAGCTATGTGCAGATGCTTCCATGGGTCGATGACGACCAAATGCATATCATGGACATCTACACAAAGCTACAACTACAGAAGGATGATGATTATGATGATTTGAAGGGAGAGGTAAAATCGTACTCGGACATCTTCAAACTTCAAACAAGAGAGGGTCATCCAATTATACGGGCGATTTTAAGAGGATTGCCTGGGCTAGGGAAAACGACCCTTTTTGACAAAATTGCTTACGATTGGGCTTGTGACTCTGATTCTGTACTAAGAAAGTACAAGCTTGTTTTTGTTCTGAAAATGCATTCTCTCAAACAAGAGTCAGATGTTATTGACGCACTGTTTGATCAGTTACTACATGAAAATAATGTGAATAGGGACGATTTGAAATCCTTCATTAAAGCCCAATCGGACAAAGTGTTGTTTCTGTTGGATGGTTTTGATGAATTCATGACGACCGAACTTGATGATAAAAAGTTCGGTTCTCTCCTCAAAATGCTTAATCCAAAGGGAGAGTACGGAGACTGCAATGTACTTGTTACCACCCGCCCCTCTCATTATGACAGACTGGCAAAGCGTACCTTGATTCAGAGGCCATTTTGCCTTGTGGATGTTTTGGGGTTTAGCAAACACAATATTAAAGTATATACAAACAAATTTTACTCAAAAGAACCATCCAAAGCTAATGGGCTTCTTAATAGGATTACATCCTCAGAGGTCCTGTCCGATTTGGCAAAAAGTCCCATGCTGTTGTTGTTGATGTGTTTATTGTGGAGAGAGAGTTCTACACTGCCTAACACTCTTTCGCGACTGTACGACGAGGCAGTGAAATACATATTTAGACGAAAGACAAACATGTCAGAAGCAGAAATCTCAAGGCTTGTTATTGCAATTGGAAAGGTTGCTTTGAATGGTATACTTTCGTCTGATCAAAAGCTTTCATTTCAAGAGGATGAATTTGACCAGAATGAGCTTGAAATGGCCATACAAGCTGGCATCCTCACCAGCCAGCGAGTCTTTAAGAGGATGGACGCTTGTAAAAGTGTTTATTTCATTCACAAGACATTTCAGGAATTTTGCGCTGCGATGTACTACCGAAGTTTAGATGAACATGATATACATCAATTCGCAACGTTCTTCAAACACACTACATCGGGTTTTGAATATCTTCTGCGTTTTTGTTGCGCTGACAATGACGGGCCTCGGACAGAGTCAATTTTGGACATTTTATTGGACAAAGAAAATACCAAAGGAATTCTTGGGTGTGACGGTAATGAAAATTCGGATGGTTACAGCTTAGAGTTAGCCCTGAATTGCTACTTCGAGAGCCAGTGCCAGACTTTGCCACCAGAACACTTAATAGATTCTATTCTAAGCGATACACTCACGATTAACACTTTGAGCAGCGATACCTTGACATCGTTGATGTACTTTTTAGATCACATTACCAAGGACAGAGAGGATGCTTACCTTAAGAAAGTACACGTGCTGCAGTTAAATGTCGACTTGAAAAGGTTTGGTGAAGAGTTTGCCAATTGTGCAAGTAGGATGACAAATGTTTCGAAATTTAAAGTATATTGGCGTTGCTCATTAACCGAGAAAAACATTGCAACCAGTGTAAGAAATAAAACACATTTGACAGAGCTGAATATCCAATATATAGATTTGGGCAGATGTACAGGTTTATCCTCAAGTATGAAAGGCTTAACGCAGCTGACGAAAGTGAAATTGCACAGTTGCAATTTAACAATGGAAGGGTTAAAGAATATTGCGGCATCAGTTAGTAATCTACCCAACCTTGTTGAATTGGATCTGTCTAGCAATAAGGGTCTTGCTGGCTCCGGTCACTCATGGTCTCACTTGGCGGGAATCCAAACCATCAGGACACTGAGCTTGAAAGACTGCAACCTGGAGGGTAGTGATATAAGGCACATTGCGGAAGAACTGAGTAACATGCCCAACCTTGTTGTATTGGATCTGTCTGTCACTACGATTTTTGGCAGCGCATGCCATAACTTGGCAAGACTCCAGAACCTTAAAAGGTTGCACTTGTCAAGATTCATTTCCAAGGAAGGTAACATGGAGGACATTGCCGAGGCACTGAGCAACATGCCCAACCTTGTTGAATTGGATCTGTCCGGAAATAACAGCATTGCTAGAAAGCCTACATTCCATCATTTGTCGAAAATCAAAAGCCTCAAAAGGTTGGACTTGTCTGTCTGCAATTTAGATGGTGATGACATGGACCACATCATCGTGGTGGTGGGCAGTATGACCAACCTTACTGAATTGGATCTGTCTCACAATCAGTACCTTATACGCTCTGGTGATTGGTCTCGTGTGACAAGATTTAAACATATCCAGAAGCTGCATTTGCGATACAGCTGGTGGATTAGCTATGACTTTGAAAGCATTGTGCTGGCACTAAGTAATACGCACAACATTGTTGAATTGGATTTGACTGACAACCAATACATTGGCTGTGATCGTACAAGTGAATGGTGGTGTCGCCTGATCACGAAACTCCAACATATGCGTAAGCTTTCTTTACACGACTGCGGCTTGACCTCTGATCATAAGTCACATATCAGGGAGGCACTGGCTCAAATGACGACCAACTTGGAAGTGGAGTATTAATTCCTGTGGCGGTTATGAGCACGTCATGAGAGCACATCCTTGCCTGTTGTGTGTACATATCTTCCAAGAACGATATGGCGTCATAACCAATGGGAGGCATTTGAGACGTTTTGTGGCATGAAAGAAGGTGGTTGCGAAGTAAGTGGTTTATAGATTGCTGCTTCCAGCAACTTCCTGATGATTCTTATTGAAGAATTTTGGCGGTACTTTGAGGATCAGCTCTGGAGTATTGACCTCTTGTGTACTGGTGTAACAGAGGCTGTCTTCCGCAGGTTTCAAAACACCCCCCCCCCCAAAAAAAAAAGTTAAAGAGACTGCACAGAGGATCAGCAAGTTTGGCGCTGCATTCCCTCAAGACCAGGCTGGTTGGAATCTGGTCAGGACCGGATGCTTTGTCTTTCTTCAGTTTCTGCATTATCCTCCGGAGGTCCTTGGGCTTGACGATCACTTTCTCAAGCTTGATAGTTGCAGTAGAAGACTGCCTGACACCTGGAGGTTGGTCATGAGCATTTGATAAGTGACACTTTACTGCGGACGCCTGGCAGAAAATATTAGCCGTGTCCAGCCTAGCTGTTGAGTGTTCAAGTTCGTTGTGTTGGATGACAGGAATATCAGATTGACCTCTTTCAGAAAGAGATCTAAGGTAACGTATACTCAACCACTTCTTGCTGCTGCTGTCATAGCAAGTTAGATCTTTCCTTAATACGACGTTGTAATATCTTTTGCAGTTACTCTCTGCCTGATTGTAGGCCTTCGTCTGTCTTCCCTGTGTAAAGTTCTCCCTCAGTATTTCTAACATCTTTAACTCAGTGACGATGAAGGCGAGGCTTCATTGAACCAAGCTTTGTCACTGGTCTTTTAAGTAATTGTTTGGAGGGAATGTGCATGTCCGTGGCCTCACAGAGGGCTTTTGTAACTTTGGTGCAAACCTCCTCATGGTCTTTGTCCTTGAATATTCGATCCAGACCTTGAAGAAAGATGCCCTCGCATATTCTGGAAGTTGGCTCAGCCGTTCGTAGCACCAAACATTCCTTCCATAATAGCTTTCCTGGAAGACTGGAACACCCACCTGTGCTATAGCATGGGGTTATATGATTCTGTTACCAAGGTGTTCAAAGTCTTTGGGGCAGTGGCAGGTAGACTCTGTCTCCATGTTCCTGTCTTCATGTTGGGCCAGCTACAATCGAAATCGGATCCGACTTATTAACCAAGCTTAAGACGGTCGACTAAGTGGAGTGTGCTGCGGCCTAGCCTGCACTGTCTGTTCTGCTGCCTAGCCAGTCTTGGTGATGCACGGAGTTGAAATCTCCTACAAGCATAACAGATTGTCTTAGGGAGGGCGCTTGCATCCAGATATTCAAGTAGGTGGTCTGAAATGGCACACTGGAGAGTCACGGTGTACCGTACGTTCCAGGTCTTGTGGATCTCTCCCTGGGTCATGATGACTGGCAATGCCCCCCAGGAAGTAAACAACAATGCCATCAAGTTCTCGATCTCTGCGGCAACACATGGAGCTAGATATATAGTAGCCAGGTGTGTACTTTTGTTAATTGGGGATACTTACAAAACACACCACAAAACACATCACAAAGATGGCTGCCGAATGCAATGCATGATGCAATCAATTTGAACAGGCGCACAATTATTAATGTGCGCGCATTGTGGCACCGATGTGCATGGCATGTGCGTTTCATGTGTGCTGTGGTGGCGCTTCTGGAAAGATGTGATTACGTAGAATTCAGGGCTGGTTGTGTTGCCAGCGGGTCATTTTTATGGATATCAAGTCAATGGGGACCCGGAAGTCATGCACTCAAGCCATCGTGCAACAAAAAGGAGAAATACATGTATAAAGAAAATGTCTTCTACAATGTGCAGTTTTGGGGCGAACTAAATCAGTATGCTTCCTGGCAATACATGGCCTAAACCATGGACATGCAAAGCCTTCAAAACAATGTCTTTAAGTATGAAAAAGAAAAGCCCAAACCGAATGAAGTTTGTACACGATAATAAAGTAGTAGGTCCTAATGAATTAAATGCCACAATATCGGATCAATAGCGTATAAGAGTTCACGGTTAGTCTATAATGAGTGAATAGTTTGGTCGGTTCTCTCTTTTACAGAATACCGTGAGCAACAACAGTGCTTGCTTTGTAACATGAGAAAACACATCAACAATGTACACTGGGACTTTGTCAACAAAAAAAAACTAAAATTACCCCCCCCCCAAAAAAAAAAATTCACCTATACGTCCGCTTGTAACTATGCATGTACCGCCCGTACCCAATCCTTAATGGTCCTACTTTTTTTCCAGAAATGTAACGAAGGAAACGCAAAGCATATAGCTCATTAAACTGTACGTATCGTGTGCACGTGTAAGAAAGAAAGAATCAACAATCGAGTGTATGGGTGCATGTACGTACACCGTCCTCACTTTTCGATGCCTGTTCTAGATTCTAATAAATGGATGACCCTCTGTTGTGAACACATAAATTGTATATATCACTGTACAGTGTGAATAAAAGACTCGATGTGTACCATTTACATATAGTGATGTGTATAATACTACGACACCATTGCTTTTGTTTTGTTTATACCTGTATAATTGTTTCAGTTCTTGTATATTAATTTAAATATTTGCTAAACTTGAGAAATTTTGTGTATACTGTAGTAATGAATGTTTTTCTTTAAATTTCAGACGATTTTTAGGATTTTATTTCCAGTTACGGCGCTATTCTTGGTGTTAGAATCGTTGACGTGCAAAATAACTGTTACAGTACCTTTATTTTGTTTACCGAAACTTAACTGGAAGGCTTATTCCGCATAAATCCTGTTTTAAATATTGAAATCGTTTTTGTTTACGTCAAACAGGGGCGGATCCAGAAATTTCCGCGGGGAGGGGGTTCATCAGCAAAAAAATCTGAAAATGTAACAAGTTTTTTCTCCAGACACTTGGCCTCTGTAAAATCATAAACTGGGGGAGGTGGGGGGGGGGGTGTTTTTGGTACCATATTTCAATAGGGGGCGCTGTTCAAATTCGACGATTATTAACAATATATTACAGAATGGTGTACCGTATTTTTAACAGGCGGACATTTTACCAGTACATTTTTTTTGGGGGGGGGGGGTGTCACAGTAGGGGGGGGGGGGGGGTGGTTCACTTA